GTATTGTGATAGGGCACATGTGCTTACCAGAGAGAGACAGAGAGAGGGAAAGCGGGAAATCACCCTCTGAGGGGGATGACCACACTGCAATTCCTTCTCCTCTAGTCTTGTCCTGGGATTTTTGGGCACACGTGCACACACACCTGCCAGGTGCAGGACTCGAACTACAATTGGCCACGTGAAATCCAGCGTCTTAACCACCAGCCCTTCTGCTGGCCCCACTATTCTGTTTTATAAATAATGAAGCGAACACTTAGCTTGTTGTCCACCAGGCACCATTCTCACCAAGTCATTTAATCCTCACAACCCCCTATGAAAAAGGTACTATTATCGTCCCATTTCACAGACGGTAAGTCTCTACGCAGCGAAGTAACTTGCCCAAAGCCACACAGCCAGCGAGTGACAGCGCCAGGAGCTGAGCCCAGCAAGCCCGCCTCCACGGAATGTGCTCTCACCCACGACGTGGACTTGGTACGTGTTTTCCTCCATCCCTCCATCTCACTTGGTATTTACAATGTACGTTTCTCGTGTTTCCTTTCTCCTCATTTTGACTGGTTTAATCGGGTTGCCATTGACTCTCACTTCTCTTGGTGACCAGGAGTGTTCTGGATAGTCACTCCAGGAATGGCCACCTCCCCTGTGGACGCACGACCTCCCCAATACAGTCCATACACCTTCGCGTCTACTCCTCCACCCTCAGCACACAAGGCCATCTGGAAGGATTTTCTTTTCTTCCCTCCTGCCCTTCCCCCACCCACCTGGGCTTCGCCAGAATATCCCCATACTTATAATTGGGCTATTGCTGGAATTTTGCTTTTAGAATGTCTCTTCTGTTTTAATACTTTTTTTTCTTTTTTAGTACTTTTGTTACATAGTCCCGGGCATTTATCAATATTGATTTATGGGGCCAGCAGTTCTCATGGAGGTTAAGGCAGTTAGAGTTTACAGGGCTGACTCCATGGTTCGAGTCCTAGACCTGGCAGCTAGAAAATCACACCACGCACGTGTGTGTGCCCCCAAAGTCCCAAAGGAGAATGGCGGAGAAGGGGCTGTTGTGGCCACCTCTCCTGAGGGGGGATTTCTCTCTCACTCACTCTCTCTGTCTTGCTCTGTCTTTTTCTGGCAAATGCACATGCCCTATAGCAACAAACAAGAATTCAAGCACTTTAGGAGATCCAAGTGCAACATGACATTTCTCCCTTTAGTTAAAAGGTTTAAGTAGATAAACGAGAGGCATTTAGTTGTCCCCCAAGACAAAGTGGGCATAATCCCCAAAATATCAGAGCCAACTGTGAAGAACGGGAAATCAAGAGGGAAAAGATGAAAGCCTTGGGGGCCAGATCCAGGACATCCAGCCCGTGAATTACAGGAGTTCCAGGAGGAGGAAAAGAAACAGGTGGAGAACTGTGGTTACAAAGAGCAGAAATTTTACCTGAGATGAAAAAAAGCCTGAGGGAACCAGCAGTTAGCATAATGGCTATGTCGCTGGACTCCCACGTAGTCGACCGCGGTTCGTGTCCCGGACCCGGTGGCTTAAAACTCACGCCGGGCGCGTGTGCGTGCGTGCCCAAGATCCCGAGAGGAGAATGGAGGAGAAGGGATTGCGGCATGACCATCCCCCCTGGGGGGTGATTTCTCGCTTTCTGTCTCTATGTCTCTCTCTGTCTGGCGAGCGCACGCGCCCTATAGTGAAAATCTCTCAAAAAAAAAAAAAAAAGAAAAAGCCTGAGACTGTGGATTAAAAGTTCACTGAGGGGACTAGCAGATGGCGTAATGGTTATGTCACTGCACTCTCACGTAAGTGACTGTGGTTCGAGTCCCAGACCCGGCAACTCAAAACTCATGCTGGAGGGCTGGCAGATGGCATGGTGACTGGAGTGCTGGACTCCCACATGGCTGAGTGTGGTTCAAGTCCTGGTCCTAGTGGCTTGCTTTCTCACTTTCCCTCTCTCTTTGTCTCTCTCTGGTCAAATTTATTTTTAAATGATAATGAGGAATAAAATTAAATCAAATAACTCTAAAAAAAAATACCTCACACCTAGTACATGTGAAGATCCCGAGAGGAGAATGGAGGAGAAGGGATTGCGGTGTGGCCATCCCCTTTGAGGGAAAGTGATTTCTCACTTTCTGTCTCTGTTTCTCTCTGTCTCTTTGGCAAGTGCTTACACCCTATAGCAAAAATCGTTCAAAAAAAAAAAGTTCACTGAGTTCCAGATATAATTGAATTTTTTTAAAAACGGGGAAAAAAAAATCCCACTATCATTAGGTACATTCTGATAAAATTCCTAAACTCCAAAAATGAACAAAAAACCCTTACAAGGTTCTAGACATAAGGAGCCAAGGCACTTGTACGGGAAACATGTCGGACCTGGGGCAGCCTGAAGTTTGCTGGGAGGAGAGGCCGTTAACTCAAGGATTCTGTATCCTTCAATTTATCACCCACTCTCAGGGGAGGGAAGGGTGATTACCAACCTGGCAGGGATCCAGTCTCTCTTCCAAGTGATCTGATGAAGGGACTGGAGAAAGAACACTAGCCAAATAATTGAACAGAGACCCAAAGTTAGAGGAAAATGAAAAGGAGAAGCACAAAGGTAGTGAGAAATCCTTTTAAAAAAATCATTTAAAAAGCTATTATAATTGCACGTAAATCAATATGTGTGTGAGTGTGTGTTTATAGTTGTCTGAAAAGTCATGAGGTATTTTTTTCTACGCTGCTCTATGCAAAAAGACGTCATGATTTTTCTGACAACCTAAAGTGTGTGTGTGTGTTTTAAAGGCTTTTGTCAGAGGGCCCATGTACTCACCAGAGAGAGTGAGAGAGACAGAGAGGGGGAAAATGAGAAACCACCCCCATGAATTCGTGTTTTTTCTATCCAAGGTCCACCGGTTTCCTGTCTCGCTCACGCCTGTTTTCTAAGGGCTGTGCTCTGTCCCCCTCCCTGTGGCCCGTAGGTGTGCTAAGACTGCTGTCTGCTCCCTGGAGCACCTGAAGGAGGTGGGGCTGAGCATGGAGGAAGGACTGGTGGGTGGAGGTGCAGTGGGGGCGCAGAGCCCGGTGAGGCACAGGAGGAAGGCTCTCTGCATCCTGCCCTCCTCGGCTCTCCAGGCCAGAGGCAGCAGGGACAGTCCACCTCTCCAGCCCCCATACTCCTCCCCTCAGTTCAAGGTGCCAGGCAGTGAAAACAGCCCCTCCACCTCGCACTCCTAACCAGGAGCCAGGCCTTCGCTCCACGGCTCCTCAGGCCCTCCTGCCTGCCCGTCCCAGCTGTTCAGGAAGGAGCCTCTGGGACTGGGAACCCGGCGGACACAGGCAGAGTGGACCAGCATCTTCCCATTAGCTCCTGCCCCACACCAGGGGCTTCTGGAAAACACATTTCGGAATGTCTGCCTGTCTGCTTATTTCCAGTGATCCAATGGGTTTTGATATACTGACAGTCTTTAGTCCCATTTGCAAGTAACAGAAAAGTCTCATTAGAGACAATCAAATTATGCCTACGTAAATGACTTTTGTACTCCCCTTTTCCAACTATTTTCTCTTTCTTTTTTCAAAAAAATTGCTATAGGTCTGGGACCAGCAGATGGCATAATGACTACGTTGCTGGACTCCCATGTAGTCAATCACAATTCGAGTTCCGGACCCGGGGGCTTAAACTCACACTGGGCACGTGTGCATGTGTGCCAAAGATCCCAAGAGGAGAATGGAGGAGAAGGGATTGCGGCATGGCCATCCCCCCTGGGGGGTGATTTCTCGCTTTCTGTCTCTCTGTGTCTCTGGCAAGTGCATGCACTCTATAGCAAAAACCTTTCCAAGAAAAAAAAAATTGCTGTAGGTCTCGCCAGAGAGAGACAGAGAGAGAGTGGGGTGGAGAAGAGAAAGTACTCCCTGGGGGAATGGCCATGCAGCAACGCCTTCTCCTCCATTCTCCTCTTGCAATTCTGGGCATGCACACACATACCTGACGTGTTTTTTAAGCTGTAGGGTCCAGGACTCAAACCACACATTTGGCCATGTGGAATCCAGCCCACCCTAACCACAATGCCACCTGCTGGCCCTTTTGCTTTCCTTCTCTCGCTCTTTTTTCCAGTACAACATACATACAGCAAAGTGTAGGGGTTTCGAACTTCCTAGTAAGAAGCAAAAGTTAAGAATTTGAGCATTCTGTGTTTTCCTCATTAGAAACTTGGTTGGAACCAGTATGGATGGAGTGTCAATGACAGTGAAA